AGAAATTTAACATGATGCAGTAATAATAGGTAGTAAGCTTTCCTAATAAAAATGAAGTAATAAAATTTTCCCAGTAGCTCATCAATAATATTTTTTTAACTCTTAGGATCTAATCAAAGATCAAGCATTACATTTTGTGGTCATGTCTCTTGACTTCCTTCAAACAGACAATTTCTCGGCTTTCTTTTCTTTTTTGATATTACATGACATAACATTTTTGAAGACTCCATGGCAATTGTTAATAGTTTGCCTCACAATCTGGATTTGTCTATTTTCTCATTATTAGATTCAGATTTAAAATTCCTTTTTTTTTTTTTTTAAGATTTTATCTATTTATTTGACAGAAAGAGAGATAGCGAGAGCAGGAACACAAGCAGGGGGAGTGGGAGAGGGAGAAGCAGGCTTCCCGCCGAGCAGGGAGCCTGATACGGGACTCGATCCCAGGACCCTGGGATCATGACCTGAGCCGAAGGCAGACGCTTGACGACTGAGCCACCCATGCACCCCTCAGATTTAAAATTCTTGACAAGCTTGGCTACATGGGTGATGTTTCCCATTGTATCACATCAGGATTGACATATTGATACATTGTCGGTGTATTCCCATCTCTGGTTAAAGTGGTATCTTCAGATTTCCCCATTGGAGAGGTACTTTTTCCCTTTTATAATTAATAGGATGATAATTCTGAGACTTACGTGAATATCCTGTTTACCTACAAACTTTGAGGAAATGGCAGCAGTCATTCATCATCTTTCTGCCATTTATTATTACATTGATATTTATAATAAGGAGAGTTCTTAATTTTGTCATTTCTTTTACATTTATTGGATACAGCTCTTCTGTAAAGAAGAGGTTTCCCTTTTGCTCTCAATTTTTTTCTTTCACCGTTTTCAAATCACTGGACTGATGTATTTTTTTTTCGTACATGCTGTAATCTCAATAAATTTACTCATTTGGACTATTAGTGACTTCAGAATTACCAATCCAGTACTATTATTAGCAACAAATCTACTAAGTAGAATTCAGGTTTTTTTGAATAAGTAAAATACACAGTTCAAAAGTCAAAACTTGGTCCATCTAGAGAACTTTTACTTTCTTGTACCATATTCCCTCCCCTGCTGTATAGCTAACCATTTTTATTAGTTTCTTCATTGTCTTTCCTGTGTTTCTTTTTCCAAAAATAAGCAAATATTTATATGTACTTTTTAAAAATTGAAGTATAGTTGACATACAATGTTAGACTAGTTTTAGGGGTACAATATAGTGATTCAGCAAGTCTGTAAGTTTTGCTATTCTCACAAGTGTAGCTATTGTCTGTCACCATACAACGCTATTACAGTCCCACTGACTGTGTTCCCTGTACTGTACCTTTCGACCCAGTGACTTATTTGTTCCATAACGGGAAGCCTTTATCTCCCACTCCCCTTCACCCATTTGTCCATCCCTCCACCCTCTGCCCTCTGGCAACCATCAGTTTGTCCTCTCTCTACATGTACTTTAATTTCTCTTTTCTCATACAAAAAAGCAGCATGTTATATATAATTATTTTACACATTGCTTTTTTAAGTTAACATAGTTCGGATATTCTTTCACCTTAATGCATAGACATCTTCTTTCCTTCTCCTCCTCCTTTTCCTCCCTCCCCCCTCCTGTCTCTTCTCCCTGCTTTGTGTCATACTGTTGTGAAAGTGTATCACAGTTTGTTCACCTCGTCTCCTATGGATGGGCATTTAGATTGTTTCTGAGCTTTTTCTATTTTATAGACTTTGTATAGAATTATATAGTGAGTAACTTTGTGAATATGTGGTTTTATATTTGTGGCAATGTATCCTTTTTTTTTTTAAGATTTTATTTTTAAGTAATCTCTACACCCAATGTAGGGTTTGAACTCACAACCCCGAGATCAAGAGTCGCTTGCTCCCCCGACTGAGCCAGCCAGGCATCCCTGTGGAGGTGTATCTTAAGAGTAAATTTCTAGCAGTAGGCTTGTAGGTCCGAGAGTAAATGAGTATGTAATTTTGTTAGCCTATAATCTGGGCAAAAAGGCATTTTGGGCAGAAGGTAGAGCAGGTATAAAAGCTCTGAGGCAGGATGTGTAGCTGGTGTGCTGAAGGAATTGCATAGAGGCCACCTGAAGAAACAGATGAGAAGCGGCCTGTTGAAGATCCTGTGCACTTGTGGCAGAGCTAAACTAGGGCCCTAGCCTCCATACTTCCCATTCATTGCAACACACTTGGGCTCCATGCCCAGTGTGGAGCCCACCGTAGGGCTTGAACCCACGACCCCGAGATCAAGACCCAAGCCGAGGTCAAGAGGCGGATGCCTAAGGGACTGAACCCCCCAGGCGCCCCTACAAGCCACTTACTAAACAAGAATGCATACAGGCCAAACAGGAATGTGTTTGACCAACACCGGTGTTGTCAGGGCTCTGGGAGGAGGGAGAAGATACGGAGCAGTTTGAGGACTTCACAGGTGAGGCAGAGCCTGAAGGATGGTTAGGACTGGCGTAGAAGTTGAAGCAGAGCAGTGCACCTTCTCGACTCTTAGAACTTGGTGTGGGTAAGGGCTTGGAAGGGAAAACAAGCATGTGCTTGTTGGGGAGGTAATGCCAGGAATGGAATGTCTCTGGGAGAAATGAGAGGATAGCTGAAAGTAGGTTAAGTGAATCAGGCCTTAGAAAGCTGCTCAGATTCCAGGGTGAAATTTGAAGTTGATTTGTCTGCAGAGTCACTGCAGGTTTCTGGTGTGGGGATGAGACAGTATGGTTTTGTGTCTTCTCTCGTTTGTGGTCATTGTGTCCATCTCTTTTTATCTTGAGGGAATCATTCATTTAGTTGTTCTAATGACTATTTAGGAGAGATCAATGGGCCTGGCTCTGGTAGGGTCTCAGTGTTAGCTGATACTTGGTTACGCTCTTTCCTTGCTCTCTTTGGACATAACTTCAGCTCCGTAGTAGAAAATACTCAGATCCCACCCAAAACTTGCAGGATCAACTAAGATTTCCCACTGCCCGCTGTTAGGCTTACAGCTTGATTGGTTATAATGTGGGAACCCCTTCTCTCACTTCCAGAAAGCAAAACAACGGGAAAGGAATGATCCTTGCTCCTAAGGGCTTAGGAATGTGACAGGGGAGTACGTCCTTCATTTTCATTCTGGAGGACTAAGTGGTGGTTTGTTCTTCTATCCCCTGTTATCATTATCCTGGAAACTGTGCTGTACAGTAGTGTAGCCACTAACCACATGTGTCTAGTGCACGTGAGAGCTGGCGAGTCTGAATTGAGGTGTGCTGTTTGAGAGTGTAGAACATGCTTTCACTTTCAAAGACTTAGTATGACAAAGAGAATATAAAATATCTTAGTAATAATAGTCTTCTCTATTGATCACATGCCGAAATAATGCTTTGAATAAATTGTGTTAAAATACATTAAAATTTCATCTTTTTTTTACTTTTTAAAAACATGAAATTTAAAGTTGCATCTGTGGCTTACATTATATTTCTGTTGGACAGTGGTCTAGAGACTTGATGAAATTTAGACATTATTTTGTATTGCATTGTACCAAGAGGTACATAATATGAGTTTGTCCCATTCTTAATGACACTAAATTTGATATTTTCCAAAACTGTATTTTAAAGATATACTTTGATCACTTTCAGAACTTTCCATTATAAAGGTGTTTGTGTGTGTGTATGTGTGTATATATATATGTATGTGTATGTGTTTTTGAAATTACTTCCAGAGTTTGTATGTATTTTTGAAATTACTTCCAGAGTTTTTGTTGTAACGATACTTAAAAAAAACACTCAGAACTTTCCATTTTAAAGATAGATTTTGAGTATTTCTGGAACTCTCCAGAGTTAAGATACATTTTTTTCTTTTGCAATGAGAAATCTGTGGAGTGATATTTTGGCACCTTGGGAACATCCTGTTTCCATTCTTTTTTACCTAATGGTTTTAGTGCCCCTTCAAGATCCTTTCTTGAATAAGTTATGTTGGATGCTATTCAACATGGTGATTTTTAAATGCTGTTATTTCTTTTTTATATACAGTTGTCATTCTTCTGTAAAGAAGAACATTCTTTTTCTTCCTTTTTCTTTTTCATTTTATTTTTAGGTGAAAGAGCTATGCGGCCTACAGCTTAGTTGGTTCATACAATAGATGTTTGATTAGAAAAGTGAAGTACAAATGAAATTTTAAAATATGGAATCAGCGTACATGGACTATGGTTGTCCACTCCTTAAAGGAATCTTATTGTATATCTTTTTTTGCAAAGCTAGTAATCACCTGTTAATTTCTGTTATCCTTACAAACTGGAATTTTCATATATAGCACATTTGTTCAACAAATTACTGAATGCTTATTCTGTTGCAGACACTGTGTTGAGCACTTAGATTGGAGTGGTAAGCAGAAGAAAAATGGCTGTCCTTCATGTAAGACGCATCCTTCTAGATGAGGAGACAGACTTGCCCAGAACCCAGTGAGTGAAGGCAATTAGGAATCTATATCTGAAGAATCTTGATTTGGGAGGTGTTATACAGGCTTTTCCTCACAAACCTTCTCAAATAAATGCTTTGAAATTCAGAACCTTCAACAGTCATTCTCCGGTGTTAAGAATATATAGTATAGTTGGCAGTTCCCTGCTGTTGTCTTTCTGATGTAACCCTGAATTAAGATTGTAGACCTCTTCCCTCGATTGCAATTTTTTCTCAAGTTTTTTTCCTCTCTGGACATTTTCCCAGCATTGCTGGGGTCCACACCTGCATAAGGCATGTCCTAGAGACATACTTCAGAGACTCCTAATACCCTGAACATGGACATGTCCAGTTAGATTTGTACGTGTCTTTAAAGAAATAAGATGTCTGTTAGTAAAGTGCTATGACCTCAGGTTCCAGAATATCAACACAACATTCTTTAGAAGAGATGCTTCACTTTGGATGAATCTAAGTTTAGAATCAGTCAGCCTCTTGTCAAGGGGAGAAGGAGAGTCCCAGCGACAGGAAAGCGCCTCACTATGAATTGGTTTGGAAATTACTTCCCTAAATTTCCTGAGGATGTTTCCTTCCTCAATGTACACTCACCTCTGTTGCTTTCACTCCTCTCATCTGAAGATGAACAACATTTTATTTCCAGTATGAGGTAGAGAGTTGGTGATTTTTTTTTTTCCTCCTAACTTTTTCTTTTTGGGTAGCATATCAAATCTTTCTCTCTGTCTCTGTCTCTCTGTCTAAAAATCAGTCTCCTCTTATGAGGAGCCAAGAGAAGAAAACTGGGCTTGGGAAGAAAGTAGTTGCTCTCATTTTCTATGGGTACTTGAAAAGGGGCAACTGATCAGTTCCTTCGGACCCTGCTTGGATAGCGAAAAGAAGGGCTGGCTTGGGTGAAGGGTGTCTCTTTTTTCTTAACTTTCAATGTTGAACCCTGACCAAGTCAAACTTGACTTCCGGTGGCTGCCAGTAATTTCTAGTCCTTTGAAATCAAAACTCCAGGGCTTTGGCTTCAGTTAAGTTTGAAGTAATCAAGGAAGCCTGGGTGGAAAGCAGAATGAACCCTTTTTAGTTTTGCAAGTTTCATCAAGGAAGAGGGTGACAGGAACCTCCCCGCTCAGGCTGAAGCACCAGGCAAGTGGGGACATGGGGTGGGGAATGTGCTTAGCAGCGGCGAGAAGAGAACAGAGTGAGGTCAGAAAGCGGGGAGGATATACATCTCTTGCATCTCCCAGCACCGGGCCTCTTGCCTTGTGCTTCGAGTCAGACTCCTCCCACCAGTTGAAGCCTCCCTCTGCTGCTTGTCTCTTAGGGTGACTAAACTTCCTGGTTCACCTGGGGATGTCCTGAGTTTAGCCCTGAAAGTTCTCCCTCCTGGGAAAACCGTTAGTCCTGGGAAAACTGGATGATGGGTCACTGGGATCAAAGTTTTAGGTATTTGGGCAGCACATGTGACACCTGAGAAACTGCCCCACAGCTCCTGCCTCCATTCTCTGTTTCTCAGGAAAGGGTACAGAAGGCCCTAGGCCAAGTGCAGGATCGTGAAGTTAAAATAACAGTATCCGCCACCCACTGCAAACCTACTGTGTGCCCGGTGCGTGATCTTGTTTAATCCTCAAGGCCACTGCGGAGGGAGGATGTTTCCTATCCAGTTTTATGGGAGAGAGACAAGAGCTGAGGGCAGGGACGACTTGTGTTCCCCAAGGTCAGACAAGTAGAAGGAAGCTGGGCCACATTTGAATTTTGGTGTGCCTGGGCCTAAAATCTGTCCTCTTTCCACTCAATGAAGAACTTGCTGAATTTGATGGCAGATGGACAGCTGCTCTGGTGTAGCAAAGCTCTGCGACCATCCGCCTCATCCACGGTTTCCAGACTCTTTCCTATTCTGAATGGTAGTAGAAGATCCCCCGGAGTATCCACTGAACTAACAGCTGTGCAGGGAGCTACAGCGGGTGCTTTAGTCTTGATTCCTGAAACAGCCCCTGATAAATTATTCAGGTTTTAAAGGAATTGCGAAGTGCGTGGCACATAGGAGGTGCTCGGTCAAGGGTAGCTGTGCTTGTTTGTTTATGAAAATTTTTTAAAAGATTTTATTTATTTAATTGACAGAGAGACAGCGAGAGAGGGAACACAAGCAGGGGGAGTGGGAGCGGGAGAAGCAGGCTTCCCGTGGAGCAGGGAGCCCGATGAGGGGCTCGACCCCAGGACCCTGAGATTCATGACCTGAGCCAAAGGCAGACGCTTAGTGACTGAGCCACCCAGGCGCCCCTGTACTTGCTATTTTCATTATGACACACAAACTATAATCTTGAGCTGAATTTTTTAGCCACTGCATGTCAATTGAAACATTTTAATATAAAAATCATCAAAGATTCAGGGTATCAAGATAATCAGCAGTATACTTACTAAGTTCAAAGTTAGGCACACACAAAAAACAACTTTTTTCCCCCCACCAAGGAGAAGCTATTCTCTTTGCTATTTGATTTGGAATAGAGGACAGGCTTCCTTGCCATCATAGAAGGCTGAGCTAGAAGCAGAAAATTCTATTCTAGGGCTGCAAGCTGTAAATGGTTCATTTCAGGGGAAAATCTAATCCAGGGGCTCAGCCCTAAGAAATTCTTCTGCTCAAATCAGAGATAATCGGAAGCTCTTAGTATAAGGACGGAAACCTTGGATTGTGAGCATCACATTGAGTGGTAAATGCCCTAGTCTGTGTGGAGGGATGCAGGAAGCTTTGAGGCTCCTCTCTGCTTTTATTTCCTCTCTCCACACCTGAGAAGTGTAACTTTGCTAGAGAGGGAAACACAGTTAAGATCACATAATTGATAACTAGATTTGAGGAGGACTCAAAGATAACGGAAGTGATAATGGACATTCAGTTTGGTCTAGTTCAGCAAATAACCACATGTCCGCCAGGTGTCGGGTAGTGTGCTGCATTCCAGCGTTAAGGGGTGGGGGGGGGCAGCTTGTGCCCGCTGACCCCAAGTAGCTCACACGGGAGCAGAGTAAATAAGACAGGCATAAGATGGTTTCTTCAGCACCAGTTTGAAACCTTTCATAGCTGTCTTAGTCCACTCTGAGCTTCCATAACACAATACCATAGACTGGGTGGCCTCGTGAACCGAAATTTATTCTCTCACTTTTCTGGAGGCTGGAAGTCAGTGCAAGGTCACGGTGCCCACGTGGTCGGGTTCTGGGGAGGGCTCTCCACCTGGTTTGTAGCCTTCTCGATGGGTGCTTACGTGGCCTTTTTACATGGCAATTTTATCAGCCCAGGCTCCCACTGCTATTCCTCACTTAACTGTAACCACCTAAAAGCGCTGTCTCCAAATACAGTCACACTGGGGGCTGGGGTTTCAACATATGACTTTGGGGGAACACAATTCAGTTCATACTATGGCCCCGAACCCACACTGTAACAAACCTATTAAAGTGTACCCATACCACACATTATATCCATACTTTCCCTGCTATACAATTAAGTGGAAGGATTTTTATAATTTTGCCTTTGAAATTATTTGGCTGTCCGCGATTAGTTCATTTTATGATTGGCTCTTGTTTCTCAGCAATCATTCATACTTGGGATTTTTTTGCAAATGAGAATTCTAAATTGTTTTTATTTTTTTTTTTTTGAAGATTTTATTTATTTATTTGACAGAGAGAGAGAGAGCGAGAGCAGGAACACAAGCAGGGGGAGTGGGAGAGGGAGAAGCAGGCTTCCCGCTGAGCAGGGAACCCGATGCGGGGCTCGATCCCAGGACCCTGGGATCATGACCGGAGCCAAAGGCAGACGCTTAACGACTCAGCCTCCCAGGTGCCCCCTAAATAGTTTTTAAACGTAATAAAATATTTGTGAATCTGTGAATTTGACAGTTAATGAGATCGGCATAATGCTAGATTTCTGTGTTTCGTTGAGCATTAACTAATTTTGCAGTGTGTTTTGCAGTTTTTATATTTTGGAGCCAGTACTTTATTCCAGGTCTCAAATACTGTTGGAGGCTCTTGAAAAGCTCATTAGCCTCTAAGCATTGTCTCTAAATGCCTAAGGGATGAAGGGGTTGGGCTTGTTCATAGCTCCACTTTGTACCTCTGGACACGTAGCTCCTGACCTTCACCTCTCTTGCAGCTCATGTCTCCTTGGCGCTGAAGACCGGCTCTGTTCCAACTGTCCTCTTCCCCACCAGCCTCCCTCCTACTCCGTGTTCTTTGCCATCTCTCTCATGTTGACATCCCCATCCACCCCGTGGGAGACTCAGAGGCTGTTGTGGCCTTCAGTGGCCCCCATATCCACCTGTGTCAGGTTTCAGGCTGGCTGGTGTCAGGATGACTGCATAGGTATTGCTGGCAACCTTGTTAGGAATCCCGATTTCTGTACCTCTTGTCTGGAGACCAGCACTGTTGGCCTGGGTGAGGCTTGGGCATTTGTTTTGTTAACAAGCTAATGTGTTTGTTAAAAGCCCATCAGGTTTGTAAGGCGTGGATGTGGGCAGTGTTGGTAGAGTGAAAGAGATGTGGATCTTAATAACAAGAACAAGGCACCCCCACTGGATTTATTGCCCTGACTTAGAGGTTCTCAAAGGGCCCTTATGCTGTTTCCAAGATGCCCCCAGGGTGTTGCCTTAAGGGTGCTCAGGAATGTCCCTCTCTGGCCTCCAGGCCATGTGTCACAGGTGCTGAGCCTTGGTGAGTAGTCCTGTAACAGCAGCTGTTACAGGAAGAAATTCTACTGTCTCTTGTTTATTTTGTCTCATGTGTGAGGCAGGCTCTTTCTTTAATTCTTCACAACACACCAGAGACAGGTACAAACTGTTAATGAGGCTTGCCAAAAGGGAAGCCCAAAGTAGAAAAATTACTACCATGTACAGGCTCACGCTCATTCTAGTGCGGTCCCTTGACCACCCTCTTGATCTGCCCCTTCCAGAAGGCTAGGTACAGTTTACCCTTCACTGTGGGACTCGCCCCAAGTATCCCCATGGTAGGAGCTCAGGCAAAACCGGCTTTCGGCCCCAGAAAGAGAAGGGAATTTTTCCACCTCACTTTTGAAGACTATCCCCTGGGCCCATATTTTCTACTTCAGAATGATAATGTGGAATATCTATTCCCTTCAGAGAAAACTAACCCAAAGTTGTATTTTGTGCCCCCCCCCCTACCCCGGACAATCGTATAGTACTTTGACATCAGGATATCTTCTGGGGCGCCTGGGTGGCTCAGTGGGTTAAGCATCTGACTCTTGCTTTCAGCTCAGGTCATGATCTCAGGGTTGTGAGATCCAGCCTTGTGTCAGGCTCCTCACTCAGTGGGGAGTCTGCTTGAGATTCTCTCTCTCCCTTTGCCCTTCCCCCACCAAAATAAATAAATCTTTAAACAAACAAAAAAAGACATCTTCTGAAGTCTTGTTTGTTCACTTAAATGATACTGCGTGTTCAACTTCCACAGCCTGGTCCCGATTTCTATGCCCAAGTGTCTTCAATGACGACTCAAAACCCTGGGGGTACAGCCTCACTCAGGGCACCTTGTTAAACACCTTCTAGACACAGCAAACTAATTATATGTCCTTCATTCAACACAATAATCCTATGAGGTCATCTTTTTAAATCTTACATTCGAACAAATGGAAACAGAGACGTTAAGCAACAGCCAAGGTCAAGCTGCCAGGAAGTGACATGCCGGCGTTTGAACTGAGGCCTCTTGGTTCCAAATTTGTGGATGTAGCTATGACGAAACACTGAGAAACACTAAGGAAGTAGGCTGGACCTTAAGGGTGAATGAAATGACAGGGTCTGGAATAATCATGCCATTAATAGAGGGAAAAGTCAGGGGAGAAGCGGGAAGGTGAGGAGCTTGGGCTACAAATTAGGAGCCACTTGACATCACTGGGTCCCTTTCTCCTCTTTATCACTGTCTTGGCTTAATGGTTATCCTTCTGAACCATCGCCTTTGTTTTCAAGTTAATCACTGTTTTTGACTCTCCAGGAGCCATGGGCCAGCTCAGGCTGTGGTGAAGCAGCCTGTCCGGGGAACGCCTGGCAGGACCACCATCACAGCGATTGTCCAGACTGGGGGAGACTGGAGCACCGGCCTCTTCAGTGTCTGCAGAGACAGGAGAATCTGTACGTGTTCCCTCTTCATTCAAGTCCTCCTTGACTATTTTCTTTCCCAAGGCATCCCTGGGTGCAGGAGCTACGTCAGGCACAAGGACAGAAATATAATGGCTTTAGAATAACTGGACTAATCTCCTAGTGACTCCTGTGCACTCCTTGGCAGGAAAAATCTTGTTTTTCAGGGATGGGAATGCTTTTACAGAGTAAGTGGTGACTTCATAGATGTTTTAAATGACAAAATCCACTGTTGGCAAAGGTGCATGAAATGGGCTCCCCCATCTGCTGCTGGTGGGAGGATACATTGTTATAACCTTCCTGCCGGATGTATAAAAAGAACCTCAAGTGTTATATAGCTTTTGGCCCAGTAATTACATTTTTAGGCATTTAGTCTAAGGAAATAAATCACGTGCAAAGATTTAGCAACGTTAACTTCTGCAGCATTGGTTATAACGGCAACAATCTGGAATGACCTAAAATGTTTGATGGGGGCACGCATATAATGAGTTATTATACAGCCATGAAAAGTCACACTGTAGAGTAACATTGAATGGGATGAAAGATGTTGTGGTACATTTTTAAGTTAAAGAAGCAGACTGTGAAACTAAGCGCGTTAGACACCATTTTTTGGTGGGGGGGATATTTTTAAAATACCTGGACGGATACAAATACAAATGTTTATGACATGCCTCCAGATGGCAGGCTAATGAGTAATTTTTATTTTCTCTTTTGCTTATCTCTTTCTAGTATTTCTAGGAGGAATATGTAGTACTCTTATAAGAACAAGAATAATCACAAAAAGCCCCCTATGTTGACTGGAATATTTTCAGATGCTCTTTCAGCTCTAGAGAGGTACCGATAACACTCCTCTAGCTACATGATTTTCCCCTGGGAATGAAGTTCAAAGCACATCGATTCTATTTTTATCTTAGGACATTCCACATACAGTGGAATATTGGTTTCAGGCATACAATTTAGTTGATTTAACACATCCAAACAACACCTGGTGCTCATCACGACAAATGTCCTCCTTAATCCCCATCACCTGTTTCACCCATCCCCCACCCACCTCCCCTCTGATAAGTGTCAGTTTGTGAGAGAATCATTTCTATCGCTTAAAGGTGCCCAGTTTGTGGTATTTGTTATGGCAGCTCTAGGAAACAAATACACAGACAAACATTGGATTTCATTTGAAGGCTTTGGGGTAGCTCACAGAACCAAAAAATCAACTAAAAACTAAGCTCAGAAGGGACAAGCTGCATTATAGGGAGCTAGCTGACACTCTGATCGACTCCAAACATTTTTCTTTGTTTTTCCTTCTGAGAATTGATGGAGCAGCTGGAGTTCATTTTGCCAGGCTTAGGTCATTCCGAAGAACAGTCCTATCAGTATTGCCCTCAGTAGTGAAGGGATGATTTTCCCAAATTACTACTGGGGTGCTGTCATCCGGAGATGCCCGACAAGTGCACAACAATGCACTTAGTGAATCTGAGATATTAATATTATTGCTACTATAAGTTGTTAGTATCCTCTAGCGTGTTGGGAGCAAAGAGTAGAGTCAGGAGGGATAGACCGGGGGCTGCAGTGTGGTTTCTACTCCATCCCAAGAGCACCTAAAAAGTTGGCTAAAGAAACAACCATCCTCACCAGCCCCCTGCCTTAAATGCTGCTTCACTACTTGGCTTTGTCCCTCACCCCCATTAATGTGCACACCAACCGCACGCTGTCTTCTGAGGATTCCCTGCTGGTCCGTTTGAGAGCCCATTCTGGGGACAAGGTGAGAAGGGAGCATGTGAGGAGGAACAGAACATTCTTTACATTTGGCCATGATTCGTGGAGAAGGGGCCATGGATGTACAGCACAAGGTGATCTGGAATGTTCTGGGTCCCAGTTGTTTTTCCTCAGATGGACCTCCATTTTATGACTGCTCACAGTGTCTCGAAGCTGTCTCAGAAGAAAACTTCGAGGTGATATTGCCTTAAACGCTCATTCTCTGCACTGTCATTCCCGGGACACAGGTGGAACATGGGTGCTATGGATCCTGGGCTTCTTTCCTTGTTTAAAAGGGCTACTTTATCCACAAAATTTCAATTCAAGCGAACCGCTGTGTAAATAGTTGTGACAAACTTGGGAACAAAAAAGAGCTGCTTTCCATGACTTTGTCCATGCCAGATTCCCATCCTGGGACAGCTTTCCATTACATATTGAGAATTATTGCTACAATTTGTCATCCATTAAACAAAGGGTACGTTAGGAACAGCAGTGATTTACATTTCTTTTTGACATTTTGCTTCTTCATGTTATTGCAATTACATTTTTTTAATTTTTTATTTATTTTAAAGATTTATTTATTTGAGAGAGTGAGAGAGAGCACAAGCAGGGGGAGGGGCATAGGGAGAAGCAGACTCCCTGCTGAGCAGGGAGCCCCATGCGGGACTTGGTCCTGGGACTCCCGGATCATGACCTGAGCTCAAGGCAGACGCTTAACCGACTGAGCCACGCAGGCGTCCACAATTACATTTTTTAAACTGCCTCCCTCTTCCCACCTGGGCGCTTTTATCTGCATTCACAGTGCACTGGGGTGTTTCTGAGTCCTTTGGAGATGGGGTTGCTGAAAGCTCAGCTGTGAAGATAAAGCCACGGGGAAATGAGTGGCTGCTAAATGTTGTTGTGGGTGAGAGGCGAGGTATCCTGGCTTTGGGAATGTTTGTGATGGTGCACCAGAGAAGGCTTATGTGGAGGGTTTAATCCACATTGGTTTGTAATTCAATATTTAGAGTTCCTACCCCTGTGTAGACAGGTGATGGGTGTTACAGACGTAATAGTGAATAAGATAGAGAAGGTTTCATAGAGGAGATAGACAATAAGCAAAATAATGGCAGTTGTGATAAGTGCCATGAAAGAAAGAAATAGGGTGTTATGGAAGGAAACTGTAGGAGAGTGGGGTCAGGGATGGCCTCTTCGAGGAACCAACCTAAAGCCGATACTGAAAGATGGGAGGAAACCAGCCACTCAGATCACCTCCCTGTGGAGGGCACCATAAGCACTGGAGGGTGAAGAGCTTGGTGTGACTAGTAATCACCAGATACCCAGGATGCAAAGAATGAAGTGGGCCAGGATTTTCTTTGGTTTTCTGGAAAAGGAAAAGAGCATTGAAAAGGCCTCAGATTAGGATCTGTGTTCCTGAACTATATCTTGGGTAAAGTGTACCTCTCTCAAAGCACGCACCACTGCTGTCTTGCTCATGCCGGCTGTGCCCAGCAGAGTGCCTGGTCCATAGGAGGCACTGAAAAATGTTTGCTGAACAACCCGTCAATGAATGAATTTTAACCTGTATTCTCACTGGATTCTTTCTTTCTTGCCCTTCATTGAAAGAATCATAAATCCTCTGAGTCGGAAGGGGTACTGGGGTCAGGTGGTCTGGCCCCTCACCTGCTTGTCTAAGCCTCCTCTGCACTATGCCTGGCAAGAACCTGACAGCTTTGGCTTTCTGAGCATTTCTAGGAAGGAGGGCTTTTCTCCTTGGGAGCCAGCTCAGTGCTTTAAAAAAAAGGGAGTGGGGTGGGGCGCCTGGGTGGCTCAGTTGGTTAAGTATCTGCCTTCTGCTCAGGTCATGATCCTGGGGTCTTGGATTGAGCACCATGTCAGGCTCCCTGTTCAACAGGGAGTCTGCTTTTCCCTTTCCCTCTGCTGCTCCCCCTGGTTGTGCACGCACTCTCTGTCAAATAAAATCTAAAAAAAAAAGAGATTTTGAATAGTTTAGCATGCACATGATTCAAAATTCAAAAGCACCTACCCCTTTGATAGATTTGCCATCTGTCCACCCAGTTCCCCGCAGAGGCAACTACTCTTACCTGAGTCCACATACTGTCTATATGCTTGTAAAGATATAAAATAATTTTAAGTGAAAGTAGATTATTCTTTTTATTATAAAACTATCGTGTAATCATCATAAAAAAGAAAACTACAGAGACTTACAAAAGAACAAAAACCAGTATCCTGTAATCCCAGCTGTTGGAGACAATCATTGTTAATATTTTGGTACCTCTCCTTCCAGATTTTTTGCTGTATGTGTATTTCTATAATTTCCAGAAATAATAGAATTGTAAACACACCCAATATTTTAAATTGCTGCATAGATTCTGTTGTATGAAGGTACCATAATTTATTTATCCAGAAATCCTTTGGTGTACCTTAATGTGGTTTCCAGACCTTTTGCTGTTCAAACCAACACTCCGTGAATGTCTTCGTACAGATGGCGTTTTGCATGTGTGTGAGTTTACCTGTTGGGCAATTGCTGAGGAATAAACCTCCTAGTCAAATAGTATGTACCATTTTAAATCTTGATAGATCCTGCCAACTGGATCTCCATTTGGAAGTTGTACTAACCTACACTCCCACCCACAATGTATGACTGTGCCCATTTCTTTCTTGAGCGTCTCTTACTGTTCGATGATTCTGCCTTTTTGTAATAATTGATCTGGACTATGCCTCGCTGCACTTTCCACCCACCTTTCCTACTTCTGCTCTCTGGGGCTCCACATTCTGGTTCTGTGTAGGCTTTTTCTTTTTCTCTCGACTCCCCTGTGAGTGAGAAGGATGAATAATAAATCACATTCCATGCATGAGGGTGGAGCCCATCTCAGGGGACAGGCCAGGAACATTCAGGCAGTGGATGCTTATATAACCACCAGGCCTCTGGATGTAATGTAAGAGGAAGAGACTGAATTTCTAGCTCAAATCCCTTTTGAGCCCAAGCCCCTTGAAACAAACAAACAAGTAAATAAAATGTGATAATATATATTTGCATATATGTATATACACAAATAACACATGAGTATGTTCACCTTGTAAAAAAATGAAACATTACAGAAAAGGAAATCATGTCTCCTCTTCTAATTAGTTTGAAGGGTTTCCTTCTAGATCTTTTTCTCTGTGTTTATATATGTAGCCTTTAGTAATATGTACTATTGTTTTGTAACTCTTTAAACAAAGCATAAATAGTATTAGGCTGTATGTATCATTATGCAATTTGATTATTTTTTTAAAAGATTATTCATTTATTTATTTGACAGACAGTGAGAGAGGGAACACAAGCAGGGGGAGTGGGAGAGGGAGCTCGATGTGGGGCTCAATCCCAGGATCCCGGGATTATGACCTGAGCCAAAGGCAGATGCTTAACAACTAAGCCACTGAGGCGCCCCTCAATTTGATTATTTTTTTAGAAATTTTTTTAAAGATTTATTTATTTGAGAGAGAGAGCAGGAGTGGGAGGGGCAGAGGGACAGGGAAAGAGAATCTCCAGTGGACCCCTTGCTGAGCATGGAGCTTGATGTGGGGCTCGATCTCATGATCCTGAGATCACAACCTGAGCAGAAACCAAGAGTTGGCCTCCCAACTGACTGTGCCACCCAGGCGCCCCTTAAGATTTTATTTATTTATTTATTTATTTATTTATTTATTTGAGAGAGAGAGAAAGAGAGACCACGAGTGGGAGAGGGGCAGAGGGAGAGAATCTCCAGCAGACTCCATGCTCAGCGTGGAGCCCGATGCAGGGCTCGATCTCATGACCCTGAGTTCATGCTCTGAGCCAAAATCAAGAGCCAGACGCTTAACTGACTGAGCAACTGAGGCGCCCCTGCAATTTGATTTTTTTATATCAAAATATGTCTTAGAGATTTAACTCCGTTGGTACTTAATCTTTCACTGCATTCTTAATTATTCCATAGTATGATTTACACCATCGTGGCTTATTTACACTTTCATCTATTAGTGCACATTGAGGTTTTAAATTTCAAGCTACAAATAATGCTGCAGTGGACATCCCTGTACCGCCTCTTACTCTAGGGTAGACGCTTACAGGTGGAATTACTAGATCCTAGTGTACTTAAAACTTTACTAGATTCACCCAAGTTGCCTTCAAAAGCACTATGTACCTATTTCTCTATGGTTTTCCCACAATGAAAATACTGACAAAATTGGCATGCTTTCATGCCAATATGCATTTCCCTGATGACTAGCTTTTCACGGTGGTTATTGGCCATTTGTGTTTCCTATTTGGTAAATTATCTGCTCATGTCCTATCCCCATTTTCTTCTTTTGTTTAATCCTTTATGTATTGATTTGTAGGAATTTACAACTGTGTTGCAAAATTTTCTCCTAGAGACTCTTTAAGACAGTTTCTGTGTGTGTCCCCCTCTTGCCCGTTCCTCTTGAGGTATGAGCCAAGAGTTTTTAATCCCACTCACTCCACTGTGTAGGGAGGGCTGTAACATCTGACAAAAATGAACTTTCCTAAAGTTGCGTGATGTAAGAGCATCCCACAGGAATAAATACAAATTAGTGGTAGTAAGGATACTGTCTCAGAGCACACAAATCCACAACCGTTGTGACATGCTAAATATGTAAAGCATGAGTTGTGTGTAGTAGTTAAGACTTTTGGGCTAGACTACCCGAGTTCAAATCTGGCTTCTGCTCCTTCCTAATAAACGTATCCCTCTGGCTGTCAGTTTGCTCATCCATTAAAATGGACACAATAAGAGTATCTGTATTTTAAGATTGTTGTGAGAATTAAGTGAGTTAAATGAATGCAATGTATTTTTAGCAGGGCTTGGCACATGGTGAAGTCTAATGTTAGCTATTACATAATAAGAATTTGGCTTTCATAGCGTTTTTTTTTTTTTTAATCCCATCTGATTACTGTCCCAAGGTAACTGAATGTGCATTTTGGTGTGTTGCCTTCAGCATCTAGTAACTGCATCCTAATGAACACTTAGATAACATGGGTATCTGATGGACAGGATTAAAAATAAAAACAACAGCATGTATTTTTTAAAAAGACATACCAGTCATAAAGATAAGATACAGGAGTTCCAATGCACAAAATGTCTTTACAATATACCTACTGAGGGTGGTGGGCATTTCTCCTTGCCAATGATAGTGGTGCAGCTCAGGCGATTGTATAAACACAATTTATTATTCACTTAGCTTGCCAGCTTTATAATTATGCAATTTTTGATTAATTTTTTATTTGCAGGCATTTGCACTATTTCATAATCCATGCATAAAATGAGATTTGATTCATTTTTTTGTATGTGCCATGATTTCCAGGTCTCCTAATTCAAGGTTGCCTGCAATATGACTGCTGTGAACTTGCAGGAAGTTGACTGGGCCATCTGTCCTCTGTGCTGTTCATCCCAGGGCTCGGTGCGGGGTGGGGCCTTCTGATCCAGCTGGGAGTAATGATTTTTTTTTTTTAAAGATTTTATTTATTTGACAGAGAAAGACACAGTGAGAGAGGGAACACAAGCAGGGGGAGACGCCTAAAGACTGAGCCACCCAGGCGCCCGATTTTTTTTTTTTTTTTTTAATGTGGGGCAAAACATCTCAGGCTCACTCAAGGCCAAATTCAGAATTTGCTTTGGGGCAAGGGACACCTATAGTACGTTATTTAGTGGATTATCTCATGACTCCTAAATGGATGAAATAGATGTTCTGTTTCTCAAAGACAGGCTGCTCCTCATCCTCCTCCCCGTGGAGTCCTCCTGCTCTGTGTGCACGTGTGCTCCTCACAGCCAGGGTGAAGTCCACAATCCTGGAACATCATTCTGAGCTTCTAGGATATAACAGCATTCCTCACATTTTGCTTTTTTGTCACTGAATCTGGGAGTGGGACTTTGCACTCCGCACCTTTTGGGGAGGGAGGGAAGGACAGGTAGCCGAGACAGGCCCTCGACAGGAAGTTCTAGTGCTAGTGACATGGTACGTGAGCCTCTTTGTTGGGTGCACTAAAAGGCTGTGGTCATTACCATTTCATGCTCACTGAAATGGCTAAAATCAAAAGGACCCAACGGTTGCAAATGTTGGTGAGGCCATGGAACAACTAGAATTCTCGTCCATTGCTGGTGGGATTGTTAAATGGTGCAAATATTTACGTCTTGTCAAGTTCAACATAAATCCACATCCAGGAATCCACCTATAGGGAATGAAAATGTATGTCTGCATGAAGACTTGTATAGGAACGTTCATAGTACATATTCACAATAGCAGAGAATGGAATAGCTTGTGAGAGTATGGAGAAACGGTTTGTGTGTTCTGGAACCTGGACTGGATCGCCCGACGGAAGAACCAAGCAGCACCCGGAGATCTTGGAGGATAGGAGGTTTATTCAATGCTGGCGGGCTCAGAGGACAGTGATCTCCAAAGGTCTGAGCCCCAAGCACAAAGGGGGTAATTTATACACTTCTACTTCCGCATCCTGGGCACTCTTGGCACGTGCGTGAAGCGGGGCAGGGAGAGGAACCCGGATTGGCACGCTTGGGTGGCAGAGCGGGGAGAAGAACCCGGAAGAGCCCCGGGGCAGGGGCTGGGACTCTTTGCTGGCTTGGTCGGCCATCTTAAGACACAGATTTCTCTTATCATGTGCAGTATTCATACAGTGGACTACTACTCAGCAACGATGAAGAACGCACAACACACTCACATACCGGCAAAGATGAAACTCAGGAAACATGTTGAATAAAAGAAGGTGGATATGAAAATAAACATGGTTCCCTTAATATGAAGTCCACGAAGAGGTAAAACTTATCAATGGGAAGAGAAATCAGAGCAGTGGCTGCCTCTGGAGTGGGAATGGGAGGGTTGGAACCGTCTGGGAAGGGGCGCAGGGGACTCTGAGGGCAGTGTTCTACTTGTTTGGTTACTTGGGTGAGAACGTGATTGTCACAAGTCCCCCAACAAAACATTTACAGCCTGTTCATTTTCTTGTATATAAATTATGTCTGAAAATATTTATTGCATACATGTGTTAAAGGTCATGGTTAGCTTTTTGGTATTTATTTCATTTTTTTTTGCTGTTTTATAGTCCTAATTATTTGTGTTCTTCAAGGTCATCCTCATTTGCGATGCTAGATGACATAACATCTTAACTGTATATGAGGAATTCTTTTTTTTTTTAAAGATTTTATTTATTTATTTGATAGAGAGAGACACAGCAAGAGAGGGAACACAAGCATGGGGAGTGGGAGAGGAAGACGCAGGCTTCCTGCTGAGCAGGGAACCTGATGCGGGGCTCGATCCCAGGACCCCGGGATCATGACCTGAGCCGAAGGCAGACGCTTAACGACGGAGCCCCCCAGGCGCCCCTGTATATGAGGAATTCTTAACCCGCAGTCTGTTGATAGCTTTCAGTGGATCCTTGGACCCCACAAAATTGAATGCACAATTTTGCACGTCTATGTATTTTTCTTTTCCCTTGAGGAGTGACTTCATAGCTACCACCATACTCTCAAAAGGGTCTGTGACCCAAAACGTATTTAAAACAGAACCTCTCTGTTAGATGGTTCATGCAGAATGTGTAAGAAGCAGTATCAGGAGTTAAAGATCAATGAATGAATCAATGACAAACTGTTTCCAGTTGATGTTCAAGGAACCAAGCCTCTAATAGTTACAGTTTAAAACTGGCAGATGTCAGTGGCTCCATGAAACTAGCAAAAATTAGAGTAACCTTCTGGCCTGAGAAATAGAATACGGTCCTGATGAGAATAGCAGGCAGAATCAGTGCACCATAAAAGAGCTTTCAATCACATTTACAGAGAAAGATGCCTGCTATTCACAAGTATCATATACTGGGTCTCTTTTAAATATTGAAAATAGATAGATGAACATAATAGAAGCAACAGCTACGATTCAACTGTAAAAAATTATTTAATGCTTTTCTCTTGACAGGAAAAAACAATTACCATAGTGAACGCTGACAGAATTGTATCAGGTTCAGCTTTGCCAGTGTTTAACAAAAGAAGACAATTTTGATGTGGCTTGGTTATGGCAATTTTCATCCACTGAGTTTTGACAATTTGTTATTCATTCTCAGTCCCTGATTGCAGGGAGACACTGCGGCATTAAATGGATGGCATTGGGTTGTAAATGCTCTTTGAGACGTGAAGTTGCTCTGAGCACATCTAAGAACCGTGGCTTTCTTTTATGTGTTATTGACAGGTTTCTGTGGTCTGTTTTGTCCAATGTGCCTCGAGTGTGACATCGCCAGTCATCATGGAGAGTGCCTTTGTTGGCCACTGTTACCTGGGTCCACCTTTGCACTGAGAATTGGCACCAGAGAGAGATATAAAATACGGGTAAGTGTGTTTGAACGTGTATGTGAACTTGGATCTATATAAGAACCTAAATGTCTTTCAAACCTGTGGTTTAAAAAAAAAAAAAAAAGTCTGGGTGAGAATGCTTAAAAACACCAGACTTAGTGGAAGGCTGGGAAAGGAAAGGGAAGCGATTTCTGATTTCATTCATATGAACCAAAATGCCGCATGATGAAAGGTATTTCCAAGGGGTACCTATTATAATGTTGATGTTGGGTCAATGGGCTGCTTCTGTTTCTCTCTCCCTCACTGCATCAAGACAAGATGACTGGTATATTGCACCAAATTTGGAGGATATACTTGGGATGGTCTAAGTGAAAATGAAGACTATGGGCATCTGCAGAGTTCACTTTGGGGACTCCTTGGGGATGCTTCAAAGAGCCAGTCACTTTCCAGTGCAGCTGAGCCTGAGGTACCATGAGAGACTGAGTGGAGACAAGTCATACATATCAGGATGTGGACAGTTAAAAATAAAAAAGACATCTCCTTATATATTCATGTGGAATGATCCCTAAAATATATTTCAAATGAATAAAAAGTACAAGACAGAGAAGTACGCAACTACTGACGTAGAAGGACTATAGATGTACTTGTGTAGACACAGAATTTATCTGCAAGTGTATATACAAACCTGCCAACAACAGTTGCCCCCAGATAAGCTAAGTGGGTGGCTAGGACAGCTGTGGAAGAGGGATGTACTTTTTACTTCCTGTGCCTTCTTCCTGTGAGAATGTTGGACCATAGGCATTTAGTACCCATTCCAAAGAAATGAAGTAATTATAAGTATTAAGTCTTAATAGAAAAAAAAAAGATGTTGACAGAGAAACCAGTGGTTTCAAGTGTGAAGTCTGTATCCAAAGCCCTAAGTAAGGCTAGGTCTCTGAACTGCAAGGATTGATAAGCTGTTGAGCTGCTTGGCACTTGGGGGTCCTGGTGGAGCAGTGTCCCCGGGCGTTCCTTTAGGGCATCGACTTGGTGGAACTCGGAAGCGGTGGGATAGGCCCCCGGGTGATGGCACTGAGCCTGTGTGATTGCGCCAGGACAGAGACGTGGGTCTCCCCGTAGGGCACCCTGTGTGAGGACTGGCTCGCCGTGCACTGCTGTTGGCCCTTTTCCATCTGTCAGGTGGCCCGGGAGCTCAAGATGAGGGCCTCCCGACTCTACGAAATCTATGCAGCTCCTTCAACCAAGGACAACCTTATTTGACAGAGCGAGAAAACGCCTCCTCCTTACCCCCCTCACCCTCCTCTCAAACCCCTCTTGGAAGAGAGATTGTTCTTAAGCTTTCACGGAAATCATATGAAAATAAATTATTTCTCCCCTACCGTCTTTACTCTCATTCTTTCTTCACACACACCTCCGATGACGTCTCTCTGGCATTTGTCTGGATCAGCTATTCCAGCCTCGCCACATAGAGATGAGCTTGTGCCTTCTACACCTGCCTGGAGTTGGAGAAGGTTGCATTTTCCCTCATCTTCCTACCACCAGCCTTCCCTGGGAAGCTTTCTTCCGCTAACCCCCTTCACCCACAGAGCCAGTAGTGGGGCAGGAGGTGGTTAATCTTAGTTAGCACCTGGTCTGGACACTAAGTCTCGCTAAAACAGAGAAGCATCGTCCTTCCCTTGTCCTGACTCCTTCAGTCGCCACTGCATGAAGGAGACGGTCTCAGGTGGCTGCCGATCTTGGACACTCTCCAACACTGGCAGATCTTCGGCCCCAAGCTTGAAGCCTTAGGTGGGCAGCTGAATTGGTCTGCCTGTCCGCCCCCCCCCCCCACAAAAAAAGATATGTTGAAGTCCTAACTCCTGGCGAGTGTGACCTTACTTGGAAACAGGGTCCTGCAGATGTAATTAAGCTAAGATGAGTCATTAGGGCGGGCCCAAATCCAGCAGTGACTGATGTCCTCACAAGAAGTGATGAGGCACAAAGACAGACACACAGCGGGAAGACGGCCATACGAAGACACAGAGATTGGCGCGATGCAGCCACAAACCATGGGATGCCTGGGGTGACCGGAAGCTGGAAGAGGCAAGGGAGGTCTTGGAGGGAGCATCGCCCTGCCCACATCTTGATTTTGGACTTGAAGTCCCCAGAACCGGGGGAGATTGAGTTTCACTTGTAAGCCAGCCAGTTTGCAGCACTTGGTTACCGAAGTCCTGGGAAGCCGGTACGCCATCCGTCAGCCCCAGGAATGGAATACTGCTTTTGTCAGGGCGGCGGCACAGAACAAGGCTGACGAGCCTGTGTCCTGAAGCCCGAACTGCCGCCCCCATTTGCTGAGTATGTAACTATGTGCAAATTTTCTAATGCCCCTGTGCCTCAGTTTCTTCATCTGTAAAAGGATGATGCTGACCTCAGAGGGCTGTGAGGATTCTAACAAGTCAGGACTCTTAGCCCACTGCTTGGCAAGTAGCAAGGACTCAGTAAACATTTGTTTTAACAATTTGACTGCTACCTTATAGTCACAGCAAATTATGTTAGTTTTCCATTTACAGCTGGGATATAAAGTTTTCTTTTCAATTAAATTTTAGATTAAAATGGAATCCATTCAAATAATCCTAAGTAAGTAACAGTATGGATGGTTGGTGGATGTGGCAAACATTTTGAAAGGTGGTGAAACTCATTTTAGTGGCTATGCCAGGTCCTGTTCAAAGTGCTCTATGTGTTTTGAGACATTTAATCCTTACACCCCTCAAGAAGATGCTATGAGAACTCCATTTTCCAGAAAAGGAACCGGAGCCACAGAGTAGCTAAGTGATTTGCCCACGGCCACACAGCTGCGAGGCGCCAGGCAGTTAGGTTCTTGAGGCTGTGCTCCTGACCTCCGCACTAAGCAAGTGGAGAAGGCTTCTGGCCGAGGTCTTCCTGGGCCTTCGGGGTTGTACAGCTGGGAGTTTGCTCTCCAGAGACGAACCCAGGCTGGGAAGCTCCGAGAGGCTGTGGCGGCCATCTGCACAGACCCCCAGCCGTTCCTGTCTGACACAGTGATGCCTCTCCTCCCGGCCCTCCCTTTCAGACGTCCTGAACAGCTGCCAGGGAAGGCAAATGCTCAACGTTGATATTTAACCTATGATAACACGCTCCCCCTCCAAGCCAGCTCCTGAAAACACCAGGCCCGAGGGACAACTAACCCGGCTTTATTGTTCCATGCTAAAACACACATCAGGCTTCTCAGGCTTACAGCTGGGAACAGTACACAGTTCTGATGAAGGGGACTTGGGTAATGTCCCTACTTTGACATGATGGGCACCCCCTCCCCACATGGAGAGCAGACGGTACTGCAGGCCCTGGTCTCTGGTGTGGGTCTCCTGTGCTGGTGAGAGCTGCAGGTGGATGTGTCCAGCAAGGGGACCCTTGTTTCCCTTGGCTTCTTCTCCTTAGTCTGGCTAGGAAAGAGCAAACTCAACACTTCATCAGAGCTACAAACCCAAACAAAACTCTGAGCTCCAAAGAGCAGTGGTTCTACCACCAAATCACGGAACAGGAAACAGAATTAGTATGTGGATGGTTCTTTGAAAGCTGATGGTGGAGAGTGGTCCCAAAGCAAGGCAGCTTAGGGCCCTGACTTCTGGTTTCCTCCAGATCATGTCAAGTGCAAGAAAAAAAAAAAGAACCAAAAATACGTGCTTTCTTCCCAAGAGAAAAGTGAACCAAAACCCAATATTTAAGTGAGAGACAACAACTCTGGTATTAAACTTCCCATTTCCTCAGACCTGCAAAAAGCTGTCAGTGGCAGAAATCTGAGGGTTTCCCAACAGTGAAAGCATGTTTCATGTATTTTTCTTTTCACTAGAAAATTTCTTTTGGTTTTTGGAGATGCAAAGTGTGGAACAGATCTCTGATGACTCCACATGGGCAAACAACATGAACACACAAGCAACACACATTTCAAAGTAATCCATACAGATTATTATAAATTACAAAACTAGAAAACACATAAAACCCCACCAAACTTCTTGCCTTTACAGTGGAATATACTAAGGAAATAAGCTGCCAGCCCTGGAACTTTCTATTTTTTTGGAACAAAGATATGAAAACTTTGGAACTCCTTAAGTGTCCTCTGCTCTATAAAATAATTTTTTATAAGTTTCTATATTTTATATATCTAAGCTTTATTTATACAATAGTCCATAATGGTTAAGATTTTACACCCTATTTCACAAACATCACTCACATAAGTATTACCTCATCAAGATTCTCTTTTGGTCTATTAAAAACACTGTACTTAAAAAAACAAGACACAAGAGTCTATAGGTTCTCTGCTTGCATCTCTATGGGGGAGCGAATTTTTCTCCCCTTCCATTTTGTCTTTCCGCTTTTCCCCCTAAACAACACCGTCTCCCGAGCCACATGGAATAAGAAGCAACAATTCCAGAGGATGAAATCCAGACTTAGCAAACTATTCTAGGGTATTCTAGGGCAAATTTCTGGGCTGACCTTATTCTGACCATTCTAATTCATCCTCACCCGCTTCCCACTCCTTCCACCACTTTTTGGCCCGTGACTTTTTGGAATCTCTATGGTGGAATTGACAGTCCGGATGAAAAGTTTAGGAAACAGGGAGAGTGGGGGTGCTTTTCTTAAACCTCTGTTTGACTGGCAACAAATCAGATTCTTCATTTAATGTTTTAAAAAAAATATTTGGTCTATTGGCTAAGCAGATTCAAAGGAAAAGCTAAATTTCCATGAAACCCTCCACTTGGTAAGTCATGGAAAATTCCCAGAGACTTAAAAAACAGCAAGTGTGCAAATTAGGAATGATTTCCTGTTGCTGTCAATGGGAGAGGAAGAAGAAAAATGTGAGAAGCAGCAAATGGGAATGAGAGGCCCTAGAACAGGAGACTGTAATTAGCTAATGTGGTCTAATGGTTTCTGGGGACTCAAAGTTGTGTGTCTACCTCCCGCCCCCAATTTATACAACTTGCTTTTGTGTGGGCAGCTTGCCTGTACTTTACCTTTCCAAGCATTATCTATAAAAGTAAAATTCCTTCCAACTCTGATAATCGAATGACTTTTCTCTGGAAAATGAAGTCACCGAAACCTATTTATAGGTGGGCTGTAGGGCCCATGGTAGTAACAAGTAGATTCCAGAATCTGAAGGCAGCATGTCTGGATCCTTTGCTGCTGGGGCTAAAGAGGAGCCAACCAAACCTGAATGCATCCCAGAGGAAATGGAACTAACACAGAGTCAGAGGAGCTAAGAGAGAAGGGACGACAGACAATTGGCAACAGCATCACTGACCATGTGTGAGAGGCAATGCCATCCCTGAATTATCCTTTCTGTGGTCTCTCCATACCTCTTAGCTTCTCACTCACCACCTGGCAGGTAAAGCCAATTACTTTGGGGTTGTTGCTTATTATCACTTTCCCCTGGGATTAACTGAGAGGAAGGTGTGGCTAAAAAGTCCAAGTTACTCATTTAATTAAGAGATGGGTGCTAGTTTGAGTCCTGCATGTGGCAGCTTCACATAGAAAAAAACATTTCTGTAACCACAAAATATATTCCTTACTCCGCTCCGGGTTTGGCTGATGCTTGCTCCTGCTTACAAGCAGGACTGCATGACAGGCTGAGGTGGTTTCAGTGAAAAATTATAATCCTGAACTTTAAAACAACCAATGTATCCAAATACTGCTGTGTTCTTGTCACTGTCTTTAATAATCAGGTCAGTGTGTGCTTTTAAAAATGAAATTCTCATCGATGTCTTAAGATAGGGGATGGCCTGAGGAGTCATAGGGTACTTCTGAACTGCATTTAATCGGGACTGTGGCTCTCTCTGGTTAATACGGATAATTTAAAATTTGTATTTTAGAGTAGGGGACCTTGCTGGCTCAGTCGGGAGAGTGTGCGACTCTTGATCTCAGGGTTGAGTTTGAGCCCCATGCTGGTTGTAAAATTTGTATTTTAGAGTTTTTTAAACCAGGTGTAAAAGATCTTCTAATGACTTGCCCTTTAAAATGACTTGTTTCTGGGCAAAAAAGAATACATGGTTTAAGTGATTTTGTATCTTTAGACTTCAAATAGCCTCTCTGTAGTCTGTGGTAGCTCTCATCATGGATTTTTCTTCTGAAATTCTTTATGTACCACGTCCTCATTTCTTTAATCAGTATATTCTAACAGAAACCCTCTCGATCAGACAGTGTCGGGGGTGGGGGGAAGATAGCATGGAATCGGATTGGAAAAGAACACAGATGTGGTGGAAGGACTCAGGATGCTTGCTGGGAGTCAGGAGAGGGGGTTAGAGCTAGAGGCATTGTGAAGAGGCACTGGCCTCTTTGGCTTGACTATCCAAGAGGAGAATATCATGCTGGCCCCTGCCCGCACTGCTCCCAAGGTGAACTGCACAGACTAGCCAGTCATAGAGCTGGAAGGAATTTGATGTCTAGTCTTTTCATTTGTCAGTTAGGTGCCAAGGTGTGAGAAATTGGCAAGATAAAGTTTGGCTCTGACAAAAGAACAGAATAACAGGAGGGGTGGGGGTTTGCTGTAACCTGGAACAGCCCGTGAGTCATGCGCTCCTCCCTCTCCGGCTCACCACCCCCGGATGCTCTAGATAAGGACAGATGTGTTCCTTCTCCTCTTGCCCTTCTGTCCCAAAAGGCCGGCCTGTTGGTATTCCGGTACCATCCCTGATGTCTGAGCACTATCACGTGGTCCGCAAACTCTCCACTGAGCAGTTTCCATCCAAGCAGATCATTTGTTCTCTTCAGTATCGCAGTTGTTGCTAGCTCCTCCTGGGAAGATGACCAAAGCAGGGTCTGCGAAGGTGAAAAAGATTTCAGAATCTATTCTGTGAGTGCGCCCTGGAAAGAACTATAGCTCTTTAAAATTATTAAGCCTTTTGGACACATGTCTTTCTTTTCATTTCAGGGAAGAGGTGTTCATCCTATCGGGAGGTACACAGCGTCTAGTTCCCCACTCCTGGTGATGCTAACTGTGGTCTTTTGGTTAAGGTGGTTTTCTCCCGGGCTTCTCTGCTATCAAGTTGCTGTTTTCCCCTTTGTGATTAATAAGTGTCATGAGAGGAAATACTCTGAGCTCTTCAAGCTTTCATCCACTAATTTTAATATCTACTGATGATTCTTGCATGAACCAAGTATTAGCCTAGTAGCTGCCAAATGATAATTTTTAAAAAATTCCATCATTCTTTCTACATTTGGTAGTTGGCACTCTACTATATGGAGGAGCTTTTCCTTGTATTTATATAGCATGGACTCAGGGACTTCTATCTGATGCTAAAGATTATTATCTGTTACTGCCAAAAATGAGTAATCTGAGTCTAATGATGGAGAAACACCAGACAAACCCCAATGGAGAGAGATTCTACAAAATAAAAGGCCTATATTCTTCAAAATGTTAAGGCCATGGAAGACAGTGAATCTTGAGGAACTGCTCCAGATTGAAAGAAACTAAAGAGAGATGGTAATTAAGTGCATTATGTGGTCCTGGATGGGATCCTAGATAAGACATTACATTTTCTTTTTCTGTGAAGGAAAAAGAGTAGACAATAGAAAAAATAGCAGGATAATTAAATAAGATCTGTTGACTAGTTAATAGTTCCTTATCAGTGTTACCTTACTAGTTTTGGTCATTGTATTGTGGTTATGTAAGAGCACATCCTTGTTTAGGGGACACGCTGAAATGTTTAGGGATAGATGAGCATTTGATTTTCAACTTATTCTCAAATGGTTCAGAAAAATTATATATATACAATTTACATTAAATATTTATGTAATATTTAATTAATATATATTATATAAGACCATATATGAGAGAAAATCAAAATAAACATGGTAAGATGTTAATATCTAGGGCATCTTGCTTTGAAGGGTATTTAGGAATTCCTTGTACTATTTCAGCAGTATTTTTATAAGTCTTTAACTTTCAAAAACAGTTAAAATCCATGAGCCCCCAGAATTCCTCCAAGGCCTCACTCTACTTGGATGGCCAAACTCAACCTGCATCCCCACTGTTCCCACGTATGTAACCAGTGTCCTCCTTGCCCTGTCCAGCCCGCAGGCCCTTTTCTCTCCTTGAGGCTGAGAAGGTTCAGAAGGAAGGGCAGCAACAGCTCGGGCTGCCCCTGTCCAGGTGAGGGCAGGAGGTTCTCCATGACTTTGCTGCTTGGCTCCTGGCCCTCCTGACTGCAAGTGAAGTCCCAGCTGATCATGCTGAAGGGGGACAGGAGAACGCCTAAAGACTGATGGGAAACTGGTCCAAGAGCGTTTAGCAAGACTTGCCTTCTGAAGGACTCAGCTCCAGAGTCTGTCCATGAGCGAGTTCCCATGAAAACCCAGTAAAACCGGAAGTGAGCAGGAGAGGGAGTTGGCCATCTCTTGCCCATTTGCTTTCATCTGGGCCTGATTTCTTTTCTCTCTGAGGACTCTGGCTGATTTAACAGAGCAGTTTTCTCTTTGGGGAAACTTCAGTGATGTTCACAGTTTTGTTCTTTGCAGGATGGCGTTGGACCCATCTTGCCAGCAATTTATGGGAAACACTGAGGCTTCCCCAAATCCCCACTCTCCAAAGGTAGGGCTCTGATCCATCGCTACAGAGTCAGTCCTGAAGAAGCCTTGAGTTTTCCAGCAGGCAGCTGCATTTGGACTCAAAACTGAGCTTCTTTGAGCTCGCAGGGCCTGCAAATGCAAGGCAGCATTTACTCATTTGCTGACGTGCGCCATTCAGCGCCAACAGCAAGGAAGGGCTGTCAGAGTCTCCAGGTGGCTGTTTACATTCAGTGGGAGAAGCAGGCATGAATACGAAGTCTGTGATTACTAGGATGCATTCTGCGACCGCCATGTCAGTAAGTGACATAGGATTTGCAATTATGCTTTCTTCACTATATACCGCCCAACGTGGGCAGGAGTTTTATCCTGCTGTTTGTGACTTTTAGCCCTTGAAAGGGAAGCCACCTGTGTTGGATATATCCTGCTTCTCTTCCGTGTACCTAAATTGGTGCTTGCGCTGGTCCTGGGCACATGCCTCTGGAGATAGGTTAGTATCACTTGGGCTCAGAAAATGGCTGCTTTCATCTGCAGATCAGGCCCCGTGTCAGCAGCAGGGAGCGTGTCCCTCTGAGACCAAAGGCAAGGTGATTTGACATAATGGCATCTGTATCTCAAGGAAGTAGTGGTGGTTTGTTTGCTCTTTTAACTACATTTATTGTGATGTAGCATTTCTGAGAGCGAGTGCAGGGGCAGGAAAGTAATAAGGAGGTAACTGCCGAGGGAAGGTTGGCTGCCCCATTAATCTGACCTTCCAGGTTGTGCTAAATGATGTAGGAAGAACTTCAACTTGAAGATCGACTGACATTTTAATAGGCACCCGAAAATCCCATCCGTGGTGGAAGGTGTGAATTTACCTATGGCTGGCTGAGTGTAGTCAGGGGAAGCAGCCCTTGTTAGTGCTGGGGCTACTGGCCAGGGGTTTTGGGATTAGGCAGGTAATAACTCTTTGTTTACTGAGTGCTCAGAAGACAAGTCTATTTGAAGTAGAAAAACCCGATGTCTGCAGGAAAGCTTTATGTTTCATTGTAAATGAGGTGGCAAGTAGTTAGCAGCATAGACTGGAATCAGATTGCCTGGGTTTATTCCTGAACTCCACCAGTTCCTAACTGTGTGGCCCTGTGGAAGTTATTTACTCGCTCTAGGTTTTAGCTCCTTTATCCATAAAATGGGCATAGTAATAGTATTTACTTTGTATGGTTGTGGTGATACGTTTAAATCAGTAAATATAAGTTAAGCACAAAGAACAGTGTCTTTGTGGCATATAGTAGGGGATCTGTAATTGTTGGCACGAGAAAGTATCGTGATAAATTAAGAGACCTCTTGAAAGCTGTTTCTTGTTATCCTGCTTCTTGATTATCTCCAAGAATGGAAAATGCTACAGGTGGAGATAGGTCCTTAAATGGGCTCATTGTCACACTCACTGCTCCAGTTTCCTTTGCCCTAAAGATCTAAATCTCTGTTCTCTCCATTGAGTTCTGACGATTTCACACGCTAATCTAAAAATAAGGATAACAACTTTAGGGGCATCTGCATGGCTCAGAGGGTTAAGCGTCTGCCTTCGGCTCAGGTTGAGCCCCGTGTCGGGCTCCATGCTCCGTGGGGAGCCTGCTTCTCCCTCTCCCTCTAACTGCTCCCCTTGCTTGTGCTCTCTCACTCTGTCAAATAAATAAATAAAAGCTAAAAAAAAAAATACTAACTTTAGATGGTTGCCGTGAGATGGTCTCTCTTATTCTCATTATATGGATGAGAACAATGAGACTCAGAGAAGTGAAGTGACTTGCCCAAAGTCACACAGTGAGTCACACACACCCTCACCGGGATACAAGTGTTTCAGTTCTGTAGCCTGGCCTCTTCCCTGATCTGCCAGAGAAAGACAGGGGCTGGAGGTGGGGAGGAGCAGAGGGAGGAGGCGAGAGGCTCCCAACTGATAGTGTTTTCAGAGTGAGTGAGTGCGCATGGAAATTCAGTGCGGAGATCCTAGTGATAATGAAGCAGATGACAGGCCCTGACTACACAATTCCAACCGTCCTGACTGCTTTTAAAAAATGACAGATTGCTGTTTGCTTGCTGCACAGTCGCTGCTTAAAGAGCTGTGAGGGCCTGTCCCCTTGGAAGGTGTTCGGATCCTACAGGCCTGGAATGCGAGTGGTTAGGCTCAGCCCCTTGTTTTCGAGGTGGGCATGGGCTGGAGAAAGGGCAGCCACTTGCCTCTATGCTTGTGGCATCTCTCCTGAGCTCCTCCTGCCTAGGCGAGGGTCCTTTTTGGCAGGAACAAAGAGGATGGACCCATTCTTCAATTGTTGGTTCAACATGTATTTATCGTATGATGAAAAATGTTGGATAAATGAACGAATCTCTTTGACATTTGAGCTTGTTTCTGTTCACCTTGCCATGTCTGGTTCCTTCTCGGTCTTCAATCTCAGCTCACGTCACCTCCTTAGAGAAACCTTTCCTGGTCACTCTACCTAATGTGGCTCATCCCCCTCAGCCATTCTTTATCCAGTTGCTTTGTGTCCTTCGTAACATCTATCACAGAGAAGCTGTCCTGTGTGTGTGTTGACCATTTACTGCCCTTCACGAAGGCAGGAGCTCTCCTTGCACGGTTCACTGCTGTATCCCAGCTCTATGGTATAAAACCCGCACATGCTCGGTGCTCAAGTGATGTTTGTTGGGTAGAAATGAATGGATAATGGAGTGAGGTGACACTGATGTCTATCCAGGAGGAAAACATTCTGTGACCTTAAATGGGGGTGGGATGAGAGCTAGGATGTTGGCCTGCAGCCCCTTGGTCATCACGGTGCATCCAACAGGAGTGGCATTCATCAGCACATGCATTTTCTGAATTACAAAGTGTGCCAGGGACATGTAATTTCTGTTAACTGGCACCAAGGAGAAGGGGTTTTCATCGAAATCCCAGCCAGCTGGAAGCATGTCCGTGTCAGATCTATCTGTAAGGCAGAATGGACATGTCATCAACACCATCCACCTTCTGAAGCTGCAAGTCCCCAAAGACACCGCAGCTGTGCCCTCACCGGCTGGGCCCGGGTGCACAGACAAGCCTATACCTCACACCTCCAACAGGTGAGGAAGGGATGAGGTGGGGGCAATCAGAAGAGGAAAGACTCATGGGCATTATGGCAGAAGATGCATTAAAAATAACTGCCATATTACCTCAACCCTGGGGTGTTTACCAGCTTATGTGAAAAATGAAGAGAACAAAAATCCGAGCTTTCTGGTCTTACAGAGCCAGC